TAGGACTACTGGGACTTTTGGGGATATAGACCCTCTCAATAAGGTCCCTTTTCAAGCGAGCCATACGTAGGGTTCAGAAGGGTCCCCTTTGAGGGCTCTCCCTAAGACTACCTAGGACTCTCGGCACCTGCGACCTGGCGAAAACAGCCACTCTACCGAACCACAACTTCGCCAAACCTCTAAGCCATGAACATCTTGCCACATCTTCGCTAAACCGGCCCTACCTATAGTCTCAATTGTAGTTCCTTTTGTTGGTTTAACCAAATATATGTTGAGGATCCTAAAACGGAGACTAAAGGTAGACAGGTAGACCCTGAAAATCTAGGGACGTGGTCATCTGCGCTGGATGCTTCAGCGTCTGCATCATGTTCAGCATGGTCTGTCACGACCTCGCCGGACAGTGTCACCAAAGCTTGCGTGTTCCTCCAAGAGGCAGCCCCAGGCCACTTGGGATTTGCCTTTTCTCACGAGGGCTCGCAATCAGCAGCCCGGAGGCGAAAAACGCACGAGCCTGCGGCGCGCTTGTCGTCATCGTCCACCCAGACCGCTGGAAGGATCTAGAAAGTATCTCCCCTAATTAATTGGGGAGCCTAACTACTAATGGGTACTTCATGGGAACCCCCCTTAAGGGATCTACTGTGTGGATCCTCCCGGGGATCCGGGCATTCAAGACTCCTCGATCTGCAAGCCAAGGTCAGCAACCCGTCCGCGCACATGCAACGGGGACGGGGATGTCGTTGAGCCGCGAAGTTAAAGGAAACAGTAGGTGGGGAAATTAGGGTATATAGGGCTTCTTTAAGGCTTCTATAAGGTATATAGACCTTCTATAAGGCTCCTATAACGGTAACTACCCACCTGAAAATGTCCTAGACGAAGGTGGTCATGAGACGTTGGAGTGATGCCCTCTGACTCTGCGGCACTCCGAAACACGGTCCTTCATCATTCGAAAAGTGTACTTCTTCTTGTAGTATGGTCATAATCATGTTCTGAACCCTAAGGAAAAAGTGTTGGTAATTCTTCCAGCCCCTGTGGAATTCTGCGGCGCACCACTTGCTACCAACGACAACAGCGGTTTAAGGCCTGGTTGGCGGTTTCTAGCGTGGGTTCGGGATGACCCCAAGGGTCCAAACGACCGAAGAATCAGGTACTGGAGCTTAGAATTGTAGTAAACTAATTTAGGCATGTATTTGGGGCATGAAACGATCCTTGGGCACGTGGAGTCTTGAGGTAAGGGTTTGAGAACCATAATCGAAGCAGGAATTTGAGATGCCTTGATGAATCGTAGCGCGATGCCGAACATAGGGGTCTTCGTAATGAGAATAGGGATTGGGGTATATTATATATACTACAACCCTAACGATCCATGTACCCAAATAGTATATACTTTGGCCTTAAAGTAGTCCCTACATAGGTACTTTCGGGCCAAAGTATATGCTACTTGGGTATATGGACCCTTGGGTAACGATACAGGAAAGATTCGCTCCGACTCTACTGCCATGAAATCGAATGATGAACAAACCTGTCGAACTTCACTGAATACTACAGTATACGCCCTAAACCCGGAACGGTGCAAGTATCCCCAAAGGCCTTTTTGCGGATTCCTTTGTGTCCTTGGCTGCACCTCCCTATACTAAAGCCCAAGACCTAGTCTAGAAGGGACTGAAAATGAGGATACCAACTATAGGCCCTCTTAAAGATAGGGGGTTGCATAAATTTGGGATTTACCTATAGCCTCCAGTCCAGTTCCTTTGTGGGGTTACCTTAACAGGATCCTAAACATCGTTTAACCGTTAAACCAAAACCAAAACTACGATGGAGACGATAGGTCCCTACCCAGACCGAGACCCCGGAAGGACCTAAAAAGGTAGAACCCCTACTTTGGGTCCCTAACTACTCAAGGGTGCTTTATAGGAACCCCCCTATAAGGGGATCTCCTTTTTTGGATCCTCTCGGGGGTCTGGGTATATGCAGGGTTTAGGGTTTGGGGCTTCCCGACTGCAGGTTCTCAAAATTACTGTCAACCGAAACCATAAAGCAAACTTCTTAACCCCAAACCCTACCCTAAACTTCCGTAGCCTACACGACCTCATATTGTAAGCCCGAATATCGAGCTTCAAGGGATCTGCAAAGAACTAGGCTTTGGTCCTAAACCTAAACCCTAAAGCCCTAAAGTCCTAAGCCCTCGAACCCCTTACGCCGCCTTGAGCTCGACCAACCCAGCCAAGCTCGTACCGATCTCCTCGCTGGGTTCTTGCAGCTTGGGCGATTGCCCAAGACTGATCAGAACTGCGTAATGTAGGGGCCTTAATACTTAGAACAAGATTTGGGGGTACATGATACTCTGCTTATAATAATAACAATAACAATAAGAAGAAGAAGAAGACAAACAATAATAGTACCAATATTTACTGATAGTAGTAATAAAGAACAGTAACAATTATGTATTGAGAATATGAATAGGCACGCGGATAGTAAGGTTAGCAATGACGGCAAGAGTACTCGCGATAAATACGGTAGTAGCGGTGACTAGCAAGAACAGGAACAGTAGATGCAATAATCAAGTTACAGAGCCATTATAGACAAACATAAAGGTCTCCGATTGAGACAACCACGTTCTGAGTTATGGCCGAACACAGATTCCCACAGCACATGAACCGTCTTGTTATACTGCAAGTGCCGGACTACTGCAGCACCGACTGCTGCATAGATGAATGCAGGCAGAAGCCAACAACCAAAAAACAAGAAGCCAAAGTCAAGATGCCAGGGCCAAGAAGGCGAAAGCCAAAACAACCCAAGACCAAACGTCAGGAAACGACGGTCCGGACGCCAAGAATGAAGCCAACGCCAAGCACCGGAGGCGGAGAAGCCAAAAGCCAAGACACCAAAAGCCAAAAACAGTTAAAACATCATCCCCCAAAACGGCCAAACCAAATTCCTAAAACAAATCGACCTCCTTGAGCACACAGAAGAGAGGGTTACAGGCAATTGCCCCTGTTTCGCTCTCTCTCTCTCTCTCTCTCTCTCTCTCTCTCCCCCCTTCTATGCATGCGTGAAACCGCCTTGCCCGTCGGACGCGGCCATTGGATGCGGAGAGGCCCAACACAAAATTAGCCTGTGGTACAACGCTGGGTTATATGTCGACAGTCACGCATGACGTTCCTCGCCAGGGTCGCGACGCTGCGGCCCTGGTTTTGGTATTTGGCGATGCACTCCTCCGGTAAGCTCGCGTGCACCCTGAAGAGCAAGCAGCAAGGCCACCTCTATGTAGTCCACAGACTTTGCTACGAAGTCGCGTTCTGAGGATGTCAGGATTCGCTCGATGCCCATGGCGTCGTGGACTGTCGAGCCTAGGCCCTTACGCTGTTGAAGCTATGCGCTTGGAAGTGTAAGTTGGTGTGGCAGACATGCGGGAAGCTCAATTACCGGGACGGGCAGTAGACATCGAGTCACATATGGGATGATAGATTGCTTCACAGGCGAATGTGATCCTCTCCGAAAGCGGTTGACCAAAGACGTTGCACATACGCCTTTTCCACGCTGGCCTTAAAAGGACTGCTCTGACAACTTACATCTGATTACAGTTGTTACTGGGGCCGGAACACACCGGATTTTCAATCGCGGTAACCCCGAAAAATGAAGCTTGTAAAACCCCAAGCACATGCTGGGACCAAGATGTTCGGAAGCTGACCACGGTCGATCTGCTCAATGGTATAAACGAGATCTTCAGTTTGCGCAATGCTATCACTGTCACACATACAGTAATCACGGCCGTCAGATTGAGCATGGCTGTGGTACAGCTTCTTTACGAGAATGTCCAGCTTCGCTGGGCATGACAGGAAATTGTCGGCAGAGCATGTTTTGGGGCATGCTGGGGTGTTACCGCCAACATTACATGTTTGTTACACACACACACAAACAAACAAAACCAACCAAAAAACAAAAACAAACACGAGCGCACATGCCCACACACGCACACACAGATACATATGTATACATACATACACATACATATATATATATACATATATATATATTTTATTTGTATATATACAAATAATGATCGCACAAAAAACACTCTCCGCCGACCCGAAAACAAGATGGTCGACAGACATGTCGGTTCATGCGCGCCTGGCATTATTGCGATATTTCTGATCGACTTCGAAGACACAAGCCATACACAGATTTCAAAACTGCAATATTTACGGCGTTCGCCACCATGTAGCAGCTTGGATCTCCCAGGACCGGCATGAGCGGACACGACTTGGCACGAGCTGTCGTTGTCGACAATGCCTCAGCGCACCGGTGGATCTGTATCAAAGATGCCTCCAACAGTCCATAAGCTGAGGTCAAGGCTGCCTGAATACACTGCTTCATGGTCTGCTTTTAGCAGGGTGCGCGCATCTCCATCCTCCGGGCTGGTAATTAACATCATATCCGTCTACTTATAGTCTAAAGAGGGAGTGGTGAATTCACGCGCTCTGCGGCCGCTTGGCCTGCTGAGCAGCTTCGCTCAGTGACAAGTGGGTTCTTGGTGATCGGCGTGCTGCGCAAACAGACCCTAGCGCCCGTGTTCACAAACGTGTGGCCTTTCAGCTTCGACAATGCTCTGTCTTCGCAACACACCTGGTCAACATACCTTCAACTTGTCGGCCAAGCCGCCGATTTGGCCTTCACAGCACAGTTTCCTTTGTAAGGATCCTACCAAGTTGTACATTGCCATGTAAAAATCTATGGTTGTGCTCGAATTGCTGCCCTTGTTTACTGTGCCAGGCCATGTTCGCGACTGCGAATGCATATTGCGGAACAAACATTGCTGTGCAAATCCAACACTCAACTTAGAGGCCAAGCCCTGTCTCTTGCGCGGACACTCGACAAAAGACAAAGGGCTTACCAACGCCGCTTGCGGAAGTCCAAAAGCTTCCACAAACGCCGACGGGGTGATCTGTGCGCGCCAATCAAAAGGCCGCCTGACTACCTCCACTCGTGTTGCGAACGGCTCATCACTGCATGGCTGACGATGTCCTGGCCATATTTCACAAATCATCCAGTGCAAAAGCACCAATGATGCAGGTATCAATGCCCACTGCCTGCCACAGCCCTGGCAGAATTGGTGCACTGGAGAGCGCCTGGAAGCACACTAAGGCTGCAGGCTAGGCCCGGAAGAAACCCAAGCCGTTGAAACGTTTAACACCCCTCCAAAAGAGGTACATTGACATGTCCAGCACATGTGCAAAAGGCAGGCAGTGCTGGGCATTGAACACTATCACAGATGTGCCCAGGCAGTGCGCAGGTATCCGAAGGTAGAAAACGAGATAAATACTGCCTGGGACCGCGCTAATGCTGGACTCGTGGGTTCTTGAATGCTGACTTGCTTCCAACTACGGGCCCGAACTAGCTAGAGCACTTCGTAAATAGCAAATAGCGGGACGAGACCGAACGTCTGACAGAAAGTACGATCAATCAAGACAGTGTCTCATATTGACTGGCGAACACAGTCTCTGCATGTGCATGGCTGCCTTGCACCACAGAAAGTGCAGAATCCAGTGCCGGCCTGCACCCGCCACGCAACTCAGCAGGTTCTACAATTTGGAAAACCGAACTCAAGCTTCTGTACTTCCATTTCAGCCTCTGGTGACAAGTCTGAAGGTGGGCAGGAACCTGTGGGTTCGAAGCGTGATGCTAGTGCTAGTGTGTGCGCTGCAGCCAACGGTCGCTGAGTCGAGAAAATTGCCTGAGGCTAAACTAAGATGCCGGCCTGGAAAAACGAATTGCGAAGAAAAGTCCTGTGCAGCGAGGCTTGCATGCTGATGCTGGGGCTCGAGGAATCCCGCTCCACCTCGCCAGGCGTGGGCTGAAGCCTGGCCACGTCCAGTTGCTGTCTATTACCAAGAGCCTAAGGCCATGCCGGTGTTTTAGCACTGATTCGCACAACCTCGGGGCCTAGACAATGCTTGACACTGCCCGCAATCCAAGATCGTAAATAAACTAACCCTGCGAAGTTCCCGTTGGCTATGAGGCTTACAAAGCTTTACTGCACCACAACCCGAGCCATTCACATCCCTACCGTCCCATAGTCTGTGCCATCTTGTCAACGATCCTGACTGCAGATGCTGCTATGACTTTTCTACATACCCTGTCATCGTCCAAAGACCCAACTAATTGCGACACACCATGGCCTAAACATCGTATGACAAAGTGTACGAACTTGGTGTTTCCAATCCCTGCAAACGTCGACAATAGTTGTTACAAGCAATGCGTAGTACTTAGTAATTACTACGTATTTACGGAATATTCCGGAATATTTCTTCCTACGAGTACCAGTCCAGACACTGAAAGTGTGCCATCGCGAGCCGCGATGCCTCTCTGTTTCAGGTCGCTCTTGCTTCTTGCACCCCTGCGGGCCGGAGTTTTTCTGCGGCCGCCACGTCTCCGGCCCGCACACAGCGACTGTTTCTGCGCTCTGCATGCGAGGCCGCTGGTCGCGACACAAGTTGAAAGTATGTCGACCGTCGTATTGGGGTATAAGTCCATGTCTACGGAAGGATGCGGACAAGCAATCGAAACGAAATTCAGAGAATGCGCAAAACAAAACATGATAGCGCTCGATTCCTTTCCCCGACCAAAGCCCAGCGCAGCATACGCAGTTTTGAGGCTTGTGCGTCGTCAGCGGTCTTGGCTGTAATCGGTGGTGACAAGGCCAGACGGACGGGGTTCTAAGATCCGCCGGCATGAGGCATGCAATGATGTTAGACGCACGATAGAACCTGGATGAATCTGGATGAGGAAAAACACTTTTTCAACTCTTGAGCTGTCACCCTGTCGTTTTACATGCTTTGGGATGATGGCAATGATAGCCGCTAGGGCGCAATGTGTTGTCTCGCATAGTCTCGGAAAGTGGCCTTGCTCGATATTTCTATAAGTCTGGTCGGGCGTAACTGAGCACCGTAAAATCCGTGCGGTGAGGCCTGTCGAAGCAGGTCTTCAGCAATGCCCCACGAAGCTGCATATGTGAAAACATGTCAAATGTAACAACATTATGTCTCGAGAACGACACCTACAAGTTAAAATATTCAGTGATGAAAAGCGAATGCATTTATTTCAGTCTCTTTGCAACATCGTGAATGGATGTGGATGAAGGTATTGTGTTTCGTGTAAGGCTGCGAGGACCAGAGAACCCGTCGCTGCTAAATCTGCTGCTAGTCCTTGAGGGTACTCAGGGTTCGGGGTGGGCTTACTTCTGTTCTGGATGTTAGGGATATGAAATTGCTGGGGAAAGTATTATTTTGAAACATATTCATACCAAGATCATTGCACTGTCACCAAACAGGATTTTCAAGCATTTCAACAATCTGCCTGCTAGGTTCTGTTCTGTTTGGTAGCTGGAAGTGGTGTCTGGATTTCCTACACCGTAGGCTTGCACTAGTGCATTCTAAGTCAGGTGCGCCAGCCATCTGTGCATGAACACCAAACCCCAAAACCCAAACCCCAAAAACCTAACCTGGCCTTCTGTATGTAGCATATAGGGGGGAGGAAAGGGGCCGTCGAAACTGCTCGAATGATTGCAAAATTAAAGGACGAAGCTCACACATGATCAAGGAGTCTCCCTTGAACCAACGGTGACCGCCAATCCCATTCCCCATCATGCCTGAATACACACCCATGTGCACGACATCACATACAAAGCGTGCAGGAGCAAACGATCTCTGGCATATGTACCTGAGCTGGGCGGACGCGCGTTGAGGCAATTTCTGCACCTTCTGCACCTTCAGAGATGCAATCGAAAGAAGTTCAAACTGGAATCCACATCAGAACTCCTGCCTTTCGCAGAAACAGCGGCCTTGCATCAGGATCCTGATCAAGCCGCCAAGGGCTTAGAACAGAGTCTCCAATCTGCCTTTGAGGCCCTGGCCCCGAAGTTCACTCGGGTTCGAGAGAAATGCCTCGGGAGCGGGCGCCGAAAGCGGCCACAGCAACGTACAGGAGCACGCACACCGGCACGTCCCAAGATGGCATCATGACATCTCTCGGAGCAGAGCTCAAAGTTTGCCTCAAAGCCTTGGATGGCGGCAGGGGTCACCTGGCACTGGCAACATGTGGATATGGCACCAAGAAGGCAGTTCGTCACTCGCCGAGGTGCATTCACAATCTTGTTCGACTTGAAAAGAGCCATCTGCTTCCCATTGAAAGCACGCCTTCAGCCGAACCGCTGCAAGTGCCACGCACACACAGACACACACATGCAGGTCACAGCACAGCACGCAGCGTGTTTGCACGTGGCATCCACATGTGCCTTAATCAGTAACCTGCCCAGCCTACCGCTCTGAGGATCTGGCTTGAAGGCGTATGCGTAGTCTGGACCTCGGCATCGGCACAGCATCAATCGCAATCTCCCGCAATGAAACGCTGGACCAGAGTTCTGGGCGGAGGAAGTTGATGAAAGCATAGCCCTTGTTGGCACCGGACTCCCTGTCCTCAGAAGGCTTTCTAAGCCCGAAACGCCCAGATCTGCCCCGCTCTTCGGATAAGCGCGGAGCAATGGGCAAATACACGAAGTCCTGAGCCCGGAATAGGACACACCGTCCGGCACAAAGCAGGCACGGAATCCTCGTTGAAGCCGAGTATCCCAGGTACCGTTAAAGCCAACTTCATTCACCTCATCAATCAGCATCTTTTGCGTGTACCTGCCACACCAAGTTGCTGTCACATTGCATGCGCCTGACTGCAGAGACACCGACTCAGGTTTTGACTTATTTGGAATGTTGCGCATCATGACGGTCAGAATGTCATCCTCCTCTACAGGCTCGCAGTGGCAATTCTCCAGGGTGCCGTGCCCCCGACCGCCAAACTGTCCTTCGCAGCAGCATTGCCCTGTGGAGAGGCACCCGTTGCCCCTAGCTGAGTTCGCCTGCCATGTCGAACTGATCGGGAGGCTTCGATCATCTATGAACTTCTTAGAGTCTCTGCATAGGGTCATAAAGTGTATTGACTTCTTGCTGCATGTCCGCCAGCAACCACTGCAAATTCTCTGTGCAGCGCGGGTGGGGTTGGGGCGAGTGGGAGAAGGAGCTGAGCACCTCATCATGTCAGTGATCTGGTCCAACTGGCTTCGTAGTAGGTGGATTTGGTTTTCCAGGCCCTGACATCCACAACGTCCAATCCGAACCGCCAGGGGACAACAATCTGAAAGGGCCAGGCCTGATTAACATCGGATTTCGGAAGGGGAGCTTGCACCATGGAAAGCAGCGCAAGCTGCTGATGGAGGCTCTGCCTGACACATGTTCATACCTCTTCCTGTGCGCCTTCTCGTTGCCACATATCTAACACAACGCACTCGGTTCACCAGTGGTCATGGGAAGGTCGCATTCCGAAGCCAAAACTCGCAAGCCTTTCTACACCTGAACATGCCATACTTCACCAAAAAAGCTGCGGAAGTGACTTGAAGTTCGGATCTCGCAAGTGCGCTCGAACATTGTGAGTGCTTTTGGGAAGGGGCCAGGAACTGTTGATGCGACAAAACCAAAGGAGCAGATGCTTGGGGGCGGAGCCAACACATTCCAGAATGAGAACTTGCCGATCTCAGAAGGCAACAGCGGCCCAACCGTCGCAATTCCAGCAAAACGACATGGATCCCCGCAAATCTGCCATAGCCAACAGAAACAGCGGCACAACTGCCACAGGTCCCAACACGAGGGGAAGCATGGGTGCACCCACCTGTCAGCCTGCAACCTGACAGAATCTGGATCTATCTGGAGTTGGAGCTGGCCATAAGCTCCTGGCATTTCAGATTCTCGCTGCGCCATAAGGTGCGCCAACTCCGCAACCTCTTTCTGAAGCCCTCAGCTGGCATGAGCAAGCTCACGACAATCACGAGTCGACTAAATTGCAGTGTGGCAGCATTTTTGCGCCATGTCGTTGCTAACATAGCCTCGCAGCGAAGGCGACATCGACACGTCGGTTGCACTGCCGCAGTGGCAACCACTACCACCGCCGCCACCACAACCACTGCCACAACCACCACCACAACTGACAACCACCACCAGCACCACCGGTAGCAGCAATAAGAACAATAACAGCAGCAGCAGCAACTAAAGAACCGGACAGCGAAAACGAGACTTTGGTAGCGACGGCCGGGACAACGAATGTCCGTGTGACAGGAGCAAATGATGTAGGAGTGGATGGGCGAGTTCAGTGAGCGAGGGAGGGAGGAGGGAGGGCGAGAGGGGCAGCAGCAGCAACAGCTTAAATGCCAACAACACAATGAATCTTCCGCGACACTCACGATGCCTTACTTTCCCCATCTCCGTTTCTGTCGTGCCTGTGTCGTGGACATTTTGTGGCACGGCCTGCTTCCGTTGGAAGAAACCCTGTGTGTCCTGCTTGAGCACTCCAAATCACTCCAACGCCAGAGTCAGTGTCAGTAGGTCCTGCAGATTTGGGGTAGACTGCATGTCCTCCATCGCCTTGCGCGTGGGAGTGGCGTTCCATGGCGAGGCGAAACTGCAGCACTGCAGGTGGGAACCCGAAGAATGTCCATGTTGTGAAGCTCCATCTTTCCAGGGACGAACTCCTTGCCAGGGAAGGGTACTGTCCACGGAGGCGGTGCCCTCGGCAGAGGTCAGAGCTTTCGACGCATGTCACGACATGTCATGGCCCGGACTCGGTCGCGTGCGAGTCAGGGGAGGCATCCCCAAAGTCGTCCTGTCAGCCGGAGCAGCTACAGAATTAATTCTCTCATGTTTGATCCTGGACAGGAACTGGGCACTCCGAGCTTTTGAGTACTGAGGCTGTGGCCGTCGATGAGCTTCTTCTGGTTGCGTCTGTGCCCAGGTCTGTTCCGTAGACCTTCAAGTCAGGAGCAGTGGGCATGCATGGGCATGCCACCGAGACTGTGACCCATTGGATGCACTGGGCAACCAGCAAGCGGGTAGGAACCACCCTGCAAGCATTCCAAGATCGAATTGCCGACAAGCCGAGTTGCAGAATGTTGCATAGTGACACACTGCGAGCAGCGGAAGCTGTTTCTCAAGCTGCGGGCAGCCACGCAGATAATCGTCCACATGCCTATAGTTAGCCCATGTTACTCTTTGGATGAACCCGACAGGCTGTAGCAGAGGGCCAGAGAAGCCAGCAGACGTCTAGCGACTTCACTGGCTCTTGACTTGGATGTTATCACGTCGACCTCATGGCTACAATGTCAGTGGACTCGCTTCCTCGATATCTGCTAGTGTGACTGAGGCGCTGCATGGGTTGAGGAACGGCTCCGAAGACATTCACGGCGATCGCTTTGCCCTTCTGCACGTCCTCGACACTTTCGGCATCGATCAATTAGTTCAAATGCTGTCCCGTCCGAGATCGAAAGATCCCGTTGCAGTTGCTTGTCGAGCGGCATAATCCGCCGTGAATGTCACGGGCGAACCAACCACAAGCGCTCCTCCCAAGCCGGATCGGGATGATGATGATGATGAGGAGGATGATGATGAGGATGATGACGGGGATGATGATGATGACGGTGGTGAAGATTACGGTGCTGCTGATGACGGTTACGATGATGACAGTCATGACGGTAATGGTGATGAGGAGGGGAAGAAGAAGATGAGGAGGATGCAGCTGGTGATGGTGATGACGACGATGATGATGATTATGATTCTGGTGATAAGGAGGAGGAGGAGGAGGAGAATAAATACTGCAGTGAATGTGAGGAGGACAATGACGATGATGACTCTGGTGACGATGATGAGGAGGATGATGATGATGATGGTG